TGGGTGATAGGATGGTCTCTGGACCTAGAAAAGCACCTATCTCTCTCTTTTATTACTAGATCTTCTGCTAGCGGATCAGGATCCCACTCAGTGCCATATCTTTGGTGCTATCTCTCTCTTTATTCACTTTGTTCTCACTGAAGTCAGCATTTCCCTTTCTAAGCACAGAGGTCATATCTGTTACAATTTTATAAAATAAGTAATTTTAGCCTTCTAATAATATTATTGGTTCAGCTGAAAACTAATATTTCAATTTCTTCACCTGCCACATTCTGCTCAACCCATCACACTCACTTGTCTGCCCCCCTCCACTGAAACTGCTCTGTCTAAGGTCCCCAAAGTTCTGATCAATCCAATTTAGAGTTTTCTATTCTTACATTACTTGACCTTGCTGTTGCACTTGGTAACTGTTGACTGCTCCTTGTAACTCTTGTGGTTGACTTCAGTGATACATTAATTCATTCAATATCCAGTCGATATTTATTGAGCACCCATTAAATGTCAGGCAGTATGCTAGCTATCAATGCTGTAACAAGGAGCAAAATACGTATTTTCCCCCCATGAGGACATTTTACTCTTTTAATACTGTGTTTACTATATAAGATTTAATATTAAGACAGATATGACTTTGAATTCTGGCACTGCTACCTATAGTTGTATGAACTTGGGGAAATTTCCTAACATTTTGCACCTATAAAATGAGGATATTTAAAATAATACCTACTTGACAGGAATTTTTTTTAAGTGTTAATTAAAGGAATCATAAAAATCTATGAAAAGTATTAAACAAAATGAAGACACATTCTATTCTTGCTGGGATTGCCTACTTTGTTCAATATAATCTTTTTTTTTAAGATATCAAAGCATCGCTCTGGCTGGGGTCTTTGACTCTTAAGTCCATCACCCTTCAGTCCATCTTCTACACTGCTGATTACTTAACAATTCATCCCCCACACCACTTCCCTTCCCTGACTGTGCTGGGCTTTTCTATCTTCCTGGTGCATCCATATTCCATTACCATCCATCTGTCAGTATGCTTGTTCCTTCTTTGTTGGTTTTTGAATGCCTACTTTTTCCTTAAATCTCCCTTCAAACATTATCTCCCTGAGGAGAGTCAGACATTCTTTGTTCCATTCCTCCACAGGTTCTCCTGTTTGCTTCTGTTATAGCCTGAACACATTGTAATGTAATCATTATCTGTAGGCGCTCATGTGAGAAATGAATGCATCTCGCTGACCTGGTATCCTTAGATGTGTCATAACTGTAGCTTTAAAAGCTTGATTATATTTATCAAACAAATATTTAGATGAAAGCTGAATTTCTATGAATGAAGTCTTAGTCTCCATGTGCCAGGCATTAAGCTGGTGATACATAAGCCGACATAAATGGGATAAGGTCCTTGTCCTCAAGAAGTGCACAAAGTGAAGTTTGATAGATAGCAGATGAAGGACAAAAGATGTATATCATTACTGAACAGACTGTTTCATTTACAACTAAAGGATGTCAGCATTTAGGCTATTCATTTTTAAAAAATAGGTGAATTAGCAGTAATTTAAAATTCTAACTCTTGTAAATGAAAGCAGTTTTCTTCTAAGTTTTGCCTTGAGCAAATGCATTCTTATAGACCCAAATGTTAAGCTGTCAGAGTATCTTGTGATATGAGGAGATGAGCATTGTCTATATGTTTCAAGTGATTTACTGTAAGTAGGGGATTTGCATCAATTGCCAGTGGCACCTTGGGAGTGAGGATTGTTCCAGTTGTCTGAAGTGAACTACTTTCTTTGTGCTTTCTAAATTTTGACACAAAGTTTTAAATGGATATCTGGGCTACTGACTCATAGCATATTTGCAAAAGTTGAAGTGCTCTTTCCCTGGTTTTAATTTCTCAAACTCTAAGAATTTTTTTCTTCTTTTCTGATCTTGTATGGTTTAACAATTGTGAGACAAAAATCTTTCCTAGTTAATTGAATATTGTGGTTTATATAGAGTTACCATGTATAGTAATTAAGTGTAATTTTCAGAATACTTGTTTTTCTTTGTTGATACAAGTCATGTTAGTATCGTGGTAGGTCTTAGTGTCATTACTTGAGAATTAACATCCTACATCCTTGTACCTTAAAGTACAGTAGTGCTTTTTAAGGCAGCAAGGATTTCTAGTTGATAGAATGCTGTACTCATAAAGTAGTTTTTATTTTGCTGCATCTGGTGAATTTATTTCCTTGTTATTCTCTGTATGATTCTTTGGGATTCTGGCATTGGAATAGAACATAAGCTTACTGTGTTATAATTTATATCTGTGTTCTTTACTTAATAACTGTGAGGACATTGTCAATGTTATGAAAAGTGCAAGTTAGAAGAAATTTTCTCTTTTTATTTTCTGTTCTCAAAGACCTAGAGTCCTTTTGAGATACAGCTCTTCAACGTGTGAAAGCAATCCATGGAATATTTTCAGTGACACATAGAATTTTGTAGTTTAGCAAATATAATCATATTATAGGAATTTTTATTTATTCAGAATTTAGTTTTTAATTAACATTTCTAATCAAAAACTTTAATAGCAACAAAGAACTATCTTGGAAAGACTCTTTAATTTGTATATATTGGAATTTTTTAGTTATGATACAGTTGATGGTGATATGAGGATTTGGCATAGGAAGAAGTTTTAGTAAAGGGATTTTCAGAGATATAGCAATCAAACCAGGACAGTATGATTTTATAAGCCAGGAGAGAAAGGAGTTTTAGGAAGAAGAGATATCAAGAATCAAATTGAAGGAAAAACAAGGTTAACTAAGACAAGGATGCAACCATATATACTGGCTTAAGTAATTACAAAAGCAGTTTCAAAAGTAATTATAAAAGCAATTAAAGGAGCAGTTGGAGTAGGAGCCAAATTTCAGTGAATGTCATCTGTCTTGTTTTCTCTCTTCCCCTCTAGAGAACTAGACAGATAAATGCTCTTATTATCCATTTTGGCTGGCATTATTGTTAGTGAATGCAACATATATTGAAGGTCAATCTTGTAACAGGACAGTGTAAGATGAGTGGTGATATTTTTATCTTAATAGGTGACTTTCTCAGATTTGCCTTGAACATCAAGTATATGAAACTAAAATTAATGTGAAGTGCTTCTTGATAAAGGGCTCCTTTTACGCTTAGATTTTCTACTTCTTTGGTTTTAAGAACTTCTTTGTCAAACTGACCTCTTAACTTGGCAACTATAATGTTTAAACTATAGCAACCTCTCAAAAAATATTTGATGTGTTATTTTAAAAATAATATTTATTTATTTTAAAATAATGTACTTGTGATAACCTTGAAGGAATAATAAGGTAGGAACAAACCAAGTCACAGCCTAGACTGCTGTGCACTCGAAAAGGACACTAGCAAAGTAACCTTCAGTCTTTTCCCAGTCCTGCTTGATTTTCAGGTCCTTCTCATAAGATGGAGTACATTAGGAAAGAAAATATGAGTAGGTAAACTGCATATATCAGTTTCAAACCAAAGTCAAAAGAGAAGCAGTAGAGTGACTGTGTACAGATACTTTCTTTGGCAAACAGACTCAACTCTTACATGTTTCAGTTCTTCCTCTTTGGACTATAAATTCTCTCTGTATTTTTCCTCAGATCATCCTCAAAAGTGGATCTAACTTGCACTGTGACTCTGGTTCTAATTACCACATAACACGCTGTGTGTATATATGTATGTATGTATATATTTTTCATTATAATCACATATTTATGTAAGGTGGAGTTCCTTTCCACAGGTCATGTGGGAGGGAGTGAGAACTGAGAAAACACAGACCTTTAACTGTCTGGTTGGATTCCTACGCCACTCTTGGCTACTCTCACTTTAGTGGGCTAAAGAATGCAAATTATTACACACTTCTGCCATTTTTTTTTCAAGCTCTCTCAGTATTTAAAAATATGGAATGCTTCACGAATTTGCGTGTCATCCTTGCGCAGGGGCCATGCTAATCTTCTCTGTATCATTCCAATTTTAGTATATGTGCTGCTGAAGCGAGCACACTTCTGCCATTTTTAATTCCTTGTTTTGTCTCTCTCTCCCTGGGATCTAGCTGACCTGCAGGACTTCCCCTAAAATTATTAATCTGAGTCCTTCTGTTTATGCTAGATAACCTGATGTCTTTTTCTATTCATGTACTATAGATTCCTTCTCTGGATATTTCCCACTTAACAAATGAATTTTGATAAGTAAGATGGTAATATTGGATGGGCATTATATAGAGACAACTTTATGGTTGCTTCTATGAAGATTCTTTAACAAAGGGGGAAATTGTTAAGAAAAAATGTTATTACATTGAAAAGTGAACAGGTAGATTAGCAGCACTTAAAAAGTTAATGGTCCCGGGGTTGGGGGGAGGAAGGAATGAATAGGTGGAGCAGAGAGGATTTTTAGAGCATCAAAACTACTCTGTATAAAACTGTATGAAACATGACGGACATGCATACATTTCTCAAAACCAAGGATGTACACCACAAGAGGGAACCCTAAGGTGAACTGTGGTCTTTCAGTGGTAACACTGTTGCATTGTAGGTTCACCTATTGTAACAAATGTTCCACTGTAGCATATAGAGTCATAAATGTGTGTTGGGATGTGGGGAGGGGGGGGCGTTGCGTGTGTGTGTGTGTGTGTGTGTGTGTGTGTGTGTGTGTGTGTGTGGAGACGGGCTGTATTGAAAATATCTGTATATTCTGCTCAATTTTCCTGTGAATCTAAAACTGCTCAAAAAAATAAAGTCATTAAAAACCAACAAACAAAAATGTTTGTGCTCATGAACAGCCTAGAAGCATCCAGAAGATGAGTAGAAGTTTACTTTCTCTGATTCAAAGTGAATTAACCTATTTGGGAATGTGTGGGCCCAAGGGAAATAGCTCTCTTGCTTTCCTCACTAGCTATCTCATTTGATAAGCATTTAGACAGCTGTCAATTCAACTATTTTTATTTACTTCACTAACATTTGCTTCCCATTTACCTCTAGGTTTGAAGTTTGAGGAAATCCAAGCAAGATTTGGCGAGGAGTTCTTTAACATATGCTTCGATGAGAATGAGAGAGTCCTTCGAGCTGTAGGTGGCACGTTACAGGACTTTTTTAACGGCTTTGATGCTTTGTTGGAACACATTAGAACTTCTTTTGGAAAGCAGGCTGCCCTGGAGTCGCCGTCCTTCCTATGCAGAGAGCTCCCTGACGGTGCTCTCAAGCTCCACTACTTCCACCCTCACCGCGTGGTGGGGCTGGCGATGCTGGGGATGATTAAGGCCGCAGGAAAGAAGATCTATCGGCTGAATGTGGAGGTGGAACAGGTTGCGAATGAGCAGCTGTGCTCTGATGGTTCAAACCCAGGCAACTGTAGCTGTCTTACCTTCCTTATCAAGGAATGTGAAAATACTAATAGCACGAAGAACCTTCCACAGGGAACCTCCCAGCTTCCTGCGGACCTCAGAATTAGCATCAACACCTTCTGCAGAGCCTTCCCTTTCCACCTGATGTTTGACCCCCACATGTCAGTCCTTCAGCTGGGGGAGGGCCTACGGAAGCAGCTCCGATGCGAAACTCACAAAGTGCTCAAGTTTGAGGACTGCTTCGAGATTGTTTCTCCAAAGGTCAATGCCACCTTTGAGAGGGTCCTGCTGAGACTGTCCACCCCGTTTGTGATTAGGACCAAGCCTGAGGCTTCTGGCGCTGAAAATAAAGACAAGGTAAGTGGCCACGGACTTGACATGGGTGATGGGAACTAGAAGAGTGCATAATTAATTCAGTAAATTACATGCTGGCTGTACTTGTAATTATTTAGGCAAAAGAGCTTAAAGTGCCATTTAGAAAATTACTGGTCCCTGGATGTATGTAAAAAGATTTGGCCCTATTCCCAGTTATTTTGCATAGTGACTGCCTCTTCCATTAATTTATTTTAGCATATAAAAAGGAGACATTTATTAATATAGCCATAGTAATTAGAAAAATGATAGGGCTCACTACAAACCTGATACTGTAAACCCGTGAATATTTCCACTGGTTTAAGTCAAACCATGAGAGAGATGAGACTGAATTCAGCACCGTGGGGCTTGCTTGCCTTAGCCTTAGATAAATATAGGCAAAAGTCTGGCTGCACTTAGAATATGTTCTGTTCTAAATTTCATAATCTAGGAACATCTGGTTTACGTACTATTTTATTTTAATATGCAGAATAATGTTTTCTAAAAGTTGGAAATTAACTGTCACAAGACTGCTCTTCTAATTAAATTTTTAGTGTTGAAATAGAGACTTATAGCTTTGGAATATATTCACTCCTTGGAGAATATAGTGAACACTTAGAATCTGTATTGTGAATTTCTTTGAATCTTTTTGGAAAGATTTGGGTTATAAGTTAAAAGTAAATGGTTAATGAGAACAGAAACAAATCTTAAAATTGTTGACTTTAAACAAACATTCCCTCAGGTAATTTTTTTTTCAGAGAAACGTCAACATTAAAATAAATAATAAACTAAAGGAAAATCAGCCGTGACTGTTTTCAATTTGGTAATATAATTTTAGTGATTGAAGGGACAAATAATGCTGATTTCCAGAGTAGACATTGGAATACACAGTTTACCCTAGAGCTTCTTTTCAATATTTTGTATCAGGATGAATAAGGCTTTTAGAGGCTACTGAACTTGTTCCTAATCATTTTTGGAAAGCTGTTGGCTTTTAGAAATGAACAGGTTGCTCTGGGCTGAAGGAAGGGAGAATTGCAGAAACAATTAAAAACTCAGTGAATGAATAATCTACACATATTGTGGACTGCCTACAACAATAAATTAAATAAGTGAGGAAATAGCCTCCTGAAAGTATAGCCAGACGTTTTTGAGGATTTTATGTAGCATTAGCTTCAATATATGATTTTGAAGTTCAATGGAAAAATTTTCAACAAAATATTTGGCAAAGATGGAATGATGCACATTTTTTCAGTATGATTGAATCAGGTAGTTTAGGAAAATCGTTCAGTGATACTTTCATTTAAGTCCAGTGATCTGAAAACATCTGAGGATAAAACTGAAGATTCCAATTTGACACATTTGGATATTTTAGGATGAATGAATTGATATTATTCCTGTTTGATTACACATGATGTTTTATATATTTTAAATATGTGCATGTTGTGTACGTATGTGTATATATATGTACACATGCATATATATAGGCATATGTGAAATATGTTTAATAATTGCTACCCATTTTGAAGCTCTTTAGAATGGAAGAAAGTTTTCAAATGTGTATTTTTGTCCATATTTGTAGTTGCTCTAAAATGGGAATTATTCTAACTTTTTATTTTAGGGAATATTAATGCTGTTGGTTCTGTTTTACAGAAGTGCAATATTTGGCTAGGAGGGTTTGAAGCATTTTTGGCTTTTAGAATTGAAGTTAGTATTTTTGAAAATGTGATTGAGGTAGAATATATTATTACTATTGTTAATTGCTTTATATATTTTGTAGATTTGAGAAAAATTAATTGAATTAAAAATTACTGCTTCAGTTGTTCCCTCCTATATTTCATCTGGCTTGTATTTCTATCTAATTTGTATACTAGGGTAAGAAATAGACATAATGAAATGATGACTCAAATGTCAAGGCCCCCTGCCAATTCTAATAATAAGGAACTGTGTTCATTGAGAAGATACAATTATAATTTAAACATGTCAGTGGCAGTTTAAAATTAAAGCAACAGGCAGGATTTTTAGTTAGAATAAGGTTAGTAATCCTCTCATCCTTATGTTTACATTTCTGCTTGTTCACCTGGGTTTGCCAGAATGGGGCATTTGGAACATTTGGGAGGCAATAAAGTTGTGGCATAGAGTCTTAACTAGATGAATAACATTTTTGAATTGTGTTGCCAAACTCCAGACTTCTATATGCTTAAAATATGGGAATAAGAAAGAAAAATCAGAATTAAAAGTTATGATCTGTTGATTAATTTGACCTTGGTATTCATTATTTTCCTCATAATAAATGCTCTTGTTAATAAATAACTCCATGTGGTCTGAAGAATCTAATTTTTTACTGGGTTTTGATAAGAAAGTACTATTTTTAACTAATTTAGGGTATTCCTTAGTTTAACAGTCCAAAGTCTGAAGGCATTCATGATAATATAACTATTTTGGTTGTGCATTTAGTACCAATGAACCACCACCTCCACTGTCAAAACCAAACCAAACCAAACCAAAGACAAGAGCTAATCATGCAGCTGAGTGACAGTAAATCATTCACAGAATGAACCGTGATGCTTTTGTTAAACCATGATACTTGTCAGGTTGTGTTGTCAGTCAATGGTTAACTGTATGATAAGAGGTAGAACATGCTTGTGAGCTATTTGGTAAGATACTAATGAAACAGAAAGCCATCATCCTAATTCTAATAAATTTACATCCTGATTCTCTGGTAATGTGTTATAAAAACTTAAGGTTTGGTTACTACAAGTGAGGATTTCACTGAAAGGCATCTAATGCAGTAATTGGTGGTGGGCTTCAGCACAACAGTTTTGAGGTCAGAAGGAACTGTTCCAGGTGGCTTGACTAAGCTTTGATTTCCATTATTTAGTTCCCTCTACATCTTCTCTATGTGATCACCTGTGCCTCACATGTTCTTGTCTCTTTTTCCTTATATGGTATGCCTATGTTTTTATTCTTTCCTTACGTTCAACTTCCCTTTATCATCTTCATTCTTTATCAGATGTCACACATTAAATATGAATGAAATAGTACATTTAAAAAAAAGAAAGATTCAGCATTGGAAATTAAGAGTAAATTAGGAATCTATATTAGTTTGTGTTGTGTATCTTTCAGGTCATTCAAGTCTACTATTCTTCTGCTAATTTGGAAGTTTATCACAGATCTTTTGAGGCATTTTGATAAATTGGAGAAGAAATTTGTTGCAGTCTAATGTGCTGTTTGGGGCTAACATTGAGTTACATAAAACTAATTTATTGGTATAGATTTCAAAGCTGCTTTGTATGGAGGGGACCATGTTTAGAGATAGGACTGTTAGATATTTGAGGAATGGCACATAGTTTCCTTCTCTGCATTGTAAGGTCATAATGTGTGGCGGAAGTGGCAACAGACTGGGAGAGGTGTTTCTGACAACCATGGTTTTAGTGAATCCTGATAATCTCTGAAGCCTCAGATTTATTCATCTGAAACTTAAGGAATCTAGACATATAATTAGTATTTTTACTCCTTCACCAGTCATCCTTAACATATATAAATTTATATGAGGTCAGTTGGTTATAAAGCTTTTTATCACCCTGATTCACTGAATTCAGATGTATTTTCATAGAGGCAGAGGGAGATTTGACTTTTCAACCATGAAGAGCTCATCCTAATATCAAGATTAAGTCAAAATAATTATTTGACAGTTTAGACTGCCTACTGCAGAAAGTTATTTTTGAGGATTAAATGATATAATCCATGTAAATTCTTATTATGTCTTTGGCTCCAGAGTTGTGTTGCATACATTTTCATTATTATTACTTGTATCACTATTATTATTATTTTAACTTGCCACATTTGTCCTATCCGTTTTCACTTCACTTCTTGCTTTATAGAAATCAGTAGGTTTAATAATTTTAGAGAAATATCAAGCCCACCTACTAATATAACTTGGGCCCCACTTTTTGTCTTCTTAATAAAGACTAGAAGACAGCCTGTCATGTTTGTGTTCTGTTTGATCTGCTTTTAGTTTATAGACTCTTATTGTTCTAAAATCCCTAATCTCCTTTTCAGATTCTCTCACTAAAGCTGGGAATGAGGTTTTTATTACCTGTGCCTACTAATATGTTTTATGCTCACTTGTTATAGCACTTTGTTGTGCCAAAATAAAACGGACTGGTTAGCTTAGGTACAACCGGAAACAGTAATGGAATTTGAGAAACAAAAAATAACATGAGCTCTTTTGACATTTTTTTCTTAGTAGCAACGCTTCAAAGAACTTTAGTAACATTGTGGAAAGAGTCCAGTGTTTGAGATACATCATCTCTACAACAGAGCAATAGCATTGTTATTCATCTCCACTTTTGTCCTCAGGGTTGCAACTGAGGAAAAGCATAACAACAATATTTCTTTTTCAATCCCCAGAAATATCCTCATATTTGTCTCATTAATTAGAAGCTGCAAACAAATGCTGGGAAATGATTTTCAAAGAATAAAGGAAGAATTAACCTCTGATTTCCTGTGGTTTAATCAATTTCCCTAATGCTCCTAAACATGTGCCCAACTTTTTCTGATGATTGAAAAGTTTAAAATATATTTATGAATCTTACCATACCATAATGACACTGTTGAAAGACAAGTTTCATCTGGCTGTCAAGAACACATTCTTTGACTTCAACTTAAATTTAATTTAATATGGGAAATGTGAATATTTCTTCTCTTTTCAGATCAAAATATTCTATTAGAGAATTCCATATATTGAACAATAATTTTAGTCAGGGACAAAATGACTTTAGGGCTTTATAAATTAGCATTGTAGAATATAAGACATAACTTTGTTTGAAATTATCTGTAGTTTTCTTTGCTATTGTAATTGTCATTGAGATCTTTAATTTTAATTTTTGTGTTGTTCATTTTTCTCTAGAACTGCTCCCTGGCCATAAACTGCCTTTTAAAGTAGGTCAGACAAATTGAGATTCTGATTCAGACATTACTGAGGTTTATTGCCACTCTGCCTCTTG